ACTCGGGACGTCCGCGGGTAGCCAGCAGGGTGTCGAGACGGATGGAAATGTCCACCAACTGGTCGAAGGATAGGTTGGTGTCCCTGCAGGCCAGCTCACGACGAACGTCCTCTCGTAGGCTACACCGGTAATGGTCGATGAGGGCCCTCTCATTCCACCCCGCATCCGCCGCTAGAGTCCGGAACTCCAGGGCGAACTCCTGTGCACTCCTCTTCCCCTGTCGGAGGTGGAACAGACGCTCCCCCGCCGCCTTCCCCTCAGGTGGATGATCGAACACAGCCCTGAAGCGGCGGGAGAACTCCGCGTAGGTGATGGTGGCGGCGTCTATTCCCCTCCATTCGGCGTTGGCCCACTCCAACGCCTTGCCGGATAGACAGGAGATGAGGGCGGAGACGCTCTCGTATCCCGAGGGCGCCGGGTGTATGGTGGCCAGGTAGAGTTCCACCTGCAGGAGGAACCCCTGACACCCGGCTGCAGAACCATCATATGCCCTCGGGAGCGAGAGCCGAATGCCACTGGGTTCCGGTGCTGGGAGAGGAGGACTGGCCGATGGTGATGGTAAGGTGTGCGAAGGCGTGGGCACCTCCCCCGTAACCAATCGGCGCAGCGTGTTGGACACCTCGTTCATGGCGGCCCCAAGTTGCCGGATCATGGTGTCTTGGTCGCTGATCCGATCCTCCAGCGACTTGGGTGCCGCCGCTGCTCCTGCTGACTCCATCGTGGTGTGTTGTTCTGTCACTAGCTGAGGTTAATGTGGTGCGGGAGTCAGGCGCAGGACACCGAAGCTTAGTCCAACAACGTTTACTAGTGCAAACCCAAGCACAATACACTGAACGGCCTCAAACAACAAACAGAGGCGAGCGATTACGCAGACTGTGTGTAAACTAACAAAACAATAAACAGAGAAAACACGCAGCACTAACGGACAGGCGAATAACAACACACAACCTAACCAATACAACACAGGCAACTTATAGAACACATAATCAGACACAAACGGACACAGGTGCAATAGACAGACAAAAGCAATCAAACATAGAAACATTCAACGGTGGCAGCTAGTACTCCGGGGACGACGAACGCCGAAGCCTGCCCGAACAAGGAGGAGGAGCAGCCTCGGCAGAATCCGTGACACAATGTGATTTTCTGGATATTTTTTTCTCAATTTGTCTGTCATAGTTGACGTGTACCTATGATGCAAATTACAGGCCTCTCTCATCTTTTTAAGTGGGAGAACTTGCACAATTGGTGGCTGACTAAATACTTTTTTTCCCCACTGTAGGTTCGCCAAAAGTTAACAAATGTTCATAAAAACTTTAACTAAACTTGATCATTTATTTCCAAGAAACAATTTGTTCTGTTCAGAGGCCTGATCCTGTATGTTGTTTACCAGAGGTACCCCCAGCCTCGCGGGCAGAAGAAGAAGAAGGTGGTGAAGTATGGGATGGGAGGTTTGATCGTCATGCTGCTCATCTGCATCGTTTGGTTCCCGCTGCTCTTCATGTCGCTGGTCAAGTCCGTGGCCGGGGTGGTCAACAAACCTCTGGACGTATCGGTCACCATCACCCTGGGAGGCTTTCAGGTATGAAAACTATGTCAAAGGCAGGGTTGTGGGCAATTCCATTTCTGCTTACTTAATGAATTGACTGAATTTAAATGGAATTGACATCAACCCTGGTTGACTGTATCAGTTCTTTATTGCCATTTGTTAATTTTAGAATATGACACATTACTATCTGATTTTAGTATCTTAACGTTGGTATCTCTTCCTTCAGCCCATCTTCACTATGAGTGCCCAGCAAAATCAACTGAAGGACATCAGCAAAGCAGATTTTGTAGACTTCATGAATTCGTACAACTACATTCCGGTAAGAAAACCACCTATTTTACAGCTTGCTTTCTGAATAATAATTTTAGGCCAGATTTCTCAAGATTTTCAAATATCTTTTGATGCTATAGGTTTGAATACTATTACATTCTGGTTTGAATATATTACTGTGTATTACTATAATTAAGGCCTTTCTCCTCCCACTCACCAGGGACTTGCACATTTAAGTATTGTGTGTTTTAATATTTCCATACATCTATCCATGCAGTCAGCGATGCAGTTCTTGGAGGCATACACATCAGAGGATGTGACTGTGGCGGAGCTGGAGGGCAGTTCCAACTCACTGTGGACCATCAGCCCCCCCAGCAGGAAGAACCTCATGGATGTTCTCAGCAAGGAGGAATACTTCCCTGTCACCATGTCCTGGACCATCCAGAGGTAAGAGAACCAGGGCCCTGTTCATTAGGCACCAAAAGGGAAGAAAACAGACTGAAACAGTCCAATAAGATACACTCATTTTCATTAGCGTTGCAAACCGCTTTAAACCGTTTTCCGTTGCGTGCCTTAATGAACACTACGCTGGACGAACCAATACTCTAATTACCTTTAAAATGTATATTGCAGAATCTGTAACGCTTCCGCTTTACAGATTGAATAGAGCCACTATACTCACACACTTCTTATGAACTCAAAAGTGTTTTGAACTGTAACTTGGTAAAGATTAGTGTTGTGTAGGTCCACATAGGTTACATAGTACTTTAGAGATCTGTTGAGATATCTGCCCAGTTACAATGTTTGTGAGGCAAGAATTTACATTTATGTGTGCACAAAGTAATATGTGTGGGAAAGAATGTGTGGTGTACTATTTTTGACTTGCAAAATATCTACTGTATGTAATTTTGTCTCTCTTTAACAGGAATCTCAGTCTTGGAGCCAAAGCTGAAGTTGCGACAGATAAACATGTAACATACCTTGATATGACAACGCGACAACAGTTAGTAGATTTACTGAATGGGACCAGAAACCAGGCTGTGTAAGTAGCCTATGCTAAGGGAAACAGACTATGAATTTTCAGGCTTAATTAAGCCTTTATAAGGTCTGTATAGATGCTTCATAAATCATTCATAATTGAAGTGATGCTCCAGAACTTTGTACAATTTCAGTAGTTTTGAAAGTGGTGCTCACGAGTCAAAATGGGTCCCAGTTTTTTTGTGTACTACATCAGCCAATTTTGTATTATGTCATTTATTTCGTATGATTATATAATTTTTTTTGCAATTCGTATGATATGTTACAAATCCAACTCGTACAATATGTTATGTTTTGTTGTGATTAAGATCCCGGACTGCATCTTTAAATGTAGTTTCTTTCTCTCCTCTCTAGGGTCATAGAACAAGTATTCCCATGCTTCCTCCGAGCTCCCAGTGACTCCAATGCCAAACCTATAGAACAACTCTATAAAGGTAATGCTCAAATCCTTAAACCGGGAAAGACTTCATATGGATAGAAACATTGATATATTTACATTGTCTCTGAAATAAACACTTCTTTTTTAACTGAAGCATCCCCCTCTTATTACTGACTGTTGATATATCATTTATGATATCTCCATTTCAGACAATGGCTACAAGAACATCCTGCTAGACCTGGAGAGAACCCACAACAGCAGTGGTGAGATACAGGAATGGTGGATCGTAGACCAGCCGTCGGCGGGACAGATCCAGATGAGGGGTGCGGCGGTGGGGAAGAAGAGAGAGGCGGGCCTCCAGCTCTACGTGTTCAGTGACAAAGTCAGCCCGCCCAGTCTGGGCTTCCTGGCAGGATACGGGTGAGTGGAGGATATCTGACGGTCTGACTTGGGTCATGTAACTCATGTTCAGTAACGCACACTGTAGGAAAACGTTTTGCAACAGAAAATTATCATTTCTGATTGTTTGTCAGGCAGTACCAGCTCGTTTCAAATTGTTGTGTTGCGGTTACTGGACACAACCCTGGTGTTGCTTTCTAAAATGTTTCCTGCATTTATAATGATTTATTACTTATTATAAGCATGTATGAGCCTTTATAATGTCTTATAACAAGGCTTATAATGTGTTATGTCTCTCACCAACAGGATCATGGGCCTGTATGCCTCGGTGGTGTTGGTCATCGGCAAGTTTGTGCGCGAGTTCTTCAGCGGCATCTCCCATTCCATCATGTTCGAGGAGCTGCCTGCCGTAGACCGCATCCTGAAGCTGTGTACCGACATCTTCCTGGTCAGAGAGACGGGCGAGTTGGAGCTGGAGGAAGACCTGTATGCCAAGCTCATCTTCCTCTACCGCTCACCAGAGACTATGATCAAGTGGACCAGGGACCAGAAAACTAAGTGACAGTGCCGCCTAGTGGGCGGCAGAGACATGAAAAAGCACAATCCAGCAGGAAGTAGCTAGCTCGCTGCGCTCCCTGTATTTTGGTGGGATGGTAATAAGGGACCCTATCCCTATCAAGCCTGCCATGAAAAACATTGACCTACACATGAAAGGTGACTTTGAAGAACAGTGGTGGCTGGTGGTACTTTAAATGAGGAGGACGGGCTCATAGTAATGGCTGGAACTTAATGAATGTAATGGTATCAAACACATCGTTTCCCTGTGTTTGATACCGTTCCATTCACTCCATTCCATCCATTATTATGAGCCGTCCTCCCCTCACCAGCCTCCTCTGTAAGAAGCAGTTTTTTTGTTTGTACTCATTTAGTACAACTCTGAAGAATTGCAGCCATCAGTCAGTCAGTGTGTTTGAGATGTCACAGACAGACAGGGAGACAGACAGGGAGTCAGACTGCTGCTGTCCTGCCTGCCTCCAGACATCTGGCCTTTTTTCTATTGGGAAACATGAACCAAGGGTTGTGCAATATACAGTCCTGATAGCTGGCTGTAAACTTGAACAGACATGTTTTCTTGAGCTACACAGGAGAAGGGAAAAGCCAAGAGAAGGGGGGCAGCGACAGAGACACTAGACACTTTTATTTTCCAATATATTTTCCTTTACAGTAGCCTACCTGGAAGTGCTTTGGCTTTTCCAGCAAGACAACGACGAGAGGTTGTAGAAAACCCACTGGGCACACACTGGTTGAATCAACGTTGTTTCCATGTCATTTCAATGAAATTACGTTGAACCGACGTGTAATAGACGTTGAATTGACGTCTGTGCGCAGAGGGAAGTTAAAATAATTTGTTTCTACAGAGTAATCAAGGGAGCTGTGGCAGACATCGTTCTCAGGAAATGTGTATCATCTCACCAGAAAGGGATGACGTTTTTGGTTTTGTTTGAACCTGTAGGACACCTAAGAAAGACAAACAATAAAGGGCAAAACAGTGATGTGATGAACACTGTATGCAGCATAGAATTCTATTTCTATATTATGGAGCATGTCCATCTTGATGGAGACCCTATAAAGACCTATGAATTGAGGGCGTCAATACAGATACTGTCGTTGAAGTGCGTAACCTGTGTCGGTTATATTTGATTGCTTGAAAAACCCTTGTTTTTGACATAAGTTAGTGTTATTTTAAATGTACAAGTTCATACATTCAACCAAAATGTGATCAAGGCCGTCAAATCTATGCATTGGGAAATGCAGCACCATGTGTAAGTGAACAGACTGTTTTCATGTGTAAGGAATCTAGTTTGTGACGTTATTGTGGTTCAGTGACCTGAACGTAACACGTTTGAAAGCTGACGTGCTGCCATTTAATTTCATTCCATGACTTGATTCAGTAAAAACAGAGGGCATGCCACAAACATCAAGCCTGCCACAAACATCAAGCCTGCATACTCCACAAAACTTGACACACATTTTAAGATTAGTTGTAAACATGAATCATCGTCTAGCTTTCAGTCAGTTCAAAAGTACAGGCATAACGTATAATGAAACTGGAAAGGCATTCTGAAATGAAAACTAAAGTACAATAATATACCAATTACCCAAATATATTATTTTCTTAACATACATTTGATTCATTATAAGTGCCTTCACACACAATAGTAACTGAAATGGCTGCTTTCAACACTTCATACTGTACAAATTCAGAAATCGTCTCATCCACCCCTTTACACTTCAATTATTGAGGCACAGAGTTTGGGTGAAGGTGCAAATCATTATTTTCACACTGAGTATCTTGTTGCATACTGTTATACTGTTGTAGATTGAATGAGAAAAAACCTTGATGATCCATTGAGGCAAATACAACAAAAGCATTACTAAACTTATATCAACATTCAAAATCAAATGTTTTATATCACTTCAAATGTAGCAAAATATACATTATTTTACAATCGCAGTAAACCCCAAAAGGGACAAATAATATATTCAAATCTTTGACTAGTGTTTGATTATTTTCCACAGTGATGTTATATATTACCATGCTTATGTTATTGTTATGAACATAACTCGTTGTTATGCTTGATGGTCTGAGTGCCTACAGTTGTTTCAAGGATACATCTGGTGATGGGAGGCAAAGTTCACGACCCCCTGGCATGCTCAGAATGGGAGGGCTGTGGAAGATTCCACTCCTTAACAGGAAGTGCTCAGGTCCAGACAGGAAGTCCAGGTTCTGTGGCTAACATAGCCCACCGGCGTACTCATCCTCGTCAGCCTCCCCTGCCCCCGCTCTTCCTTCCCCAGCATCGGCAGCTGCAGCGGGAGCCTTCTTCTTCTTACCACCCCCTGGAACCCTCAGGCTGATGGACAACTTGGCATACTGCAAGACAATTGGCACTCTGGTCAGGTTATGGCAAGTTGTCTCTACAGTATTTGTTTCCCAAACCTCTCCTTGAGTACCCACAGCCAGTTCCATGTGTTTTATCTCTTCCTAAACTAGCACAGCAGATTCAACTAATGAACCAATCAGAAAACCCTTGGTTAGTTTGAGTCAGGTGTGTGTCTTTCAGGAATTTATCAGGAGAGGTTTGGGAAATAGTTCTAAAGAAATGTAAAAGATGAATGGTACAAAACAAGAAAGCAGGGTCTAGAGGGGTGACGCAGGTAAGCAAGCAGTTGGACTGCAATTGTTTCTATTAATAAATGACTTCTCTAACTTTGTATTATTCAGGCTAGCCTGGGAATTCATCTATGGGGTGGCTAGGAGAGAGGTGTCAGAAGGAAAGGACAGCTCATGATTCCATACCTTTTAAAGTCCTTAAATGTGATCAAAGGAGACAACAGAACACAATTTGAGAAGCAGACACTCAAACGATGTGATGACATAAGCCACTAGGCAGAACACTCACATCGTTGTCCATGTACTTAAATAAGGGCGAGTTACAGACGCGCTGCACTTGGTCATCATCCTGCTGGTCGTAGCCCTGTAAGAGCTGCTCCAAGCCAATACAGTCCTCGCTCCCACTGAAGCCTGGCAGACTAGGGGCAAAGATTAGATTGGTCAAGCATAGGGTTGCAAAATTCCAGTAACTTTCCCAAAATTCCCAGAAATCCCGGTTGGAGTATTCACAGATTCCCTGCTTATTACCTCCTGATTCCAGGAATATTCCAACTGGATTTATGAATCCCTAGTCAAATTTAACAAAATAGATAACCTTCATATTTACGTTTTAATTAGTCAGTACCTGTAACTCTCTCGAACACATTTATCTGCTGCTACGAAGTCCTTCCTGTGAAGGTGGACTAGCACTTGGGCAATGGTTTTCTAAAGAAGAAAATACACAGGCAACCATTTGGTTTTAATCTTCACAACAGGGGTAATAATAACAGAGTTTTCAACACAAGGTCAATTTTCTTTATCAGGCTAAATAAGTGAAAGATCATTAAACACACCTTAAAACACGTTGGGTAATTCTCTATTTCTTTATACATGTTCTTCTCCTTCTGAATCGACACTGCTGCTTCATCAAGCCTGACGGGCAAAAAAAACAACAACAGTTAGCTGGAACGGAATGAGTAGGAGAGGTAGAAAAACCTGTAAAGCAGGAGAGAATTTACTTGTGTTGCCTGACGAGAAGTCTTGATGCTTTCCCCAGCATCTCTACAGCTTGACGTAGACGGTCCTCGTTCTGCAGAAATATACATTCATCATATCAATACTATTTTGATTGATTTGGTCACTTTTCATTACCTTATTACATTAATATACACTGCTCAAAAAAATAAAGGGAACACTTAAACAACACAATGTAACTCCAAGTCAATCACACTTCTGTGAAATCAAACTGTCCACTTAGGAAGCAACACTGATTGACAATACATTTCACATGCTGTTGTGCAAATGGAATAGACAACAGGTGGAAATTATAGGCAATTAGCAAGACACCCCCAATAAAGGACTGGTTTTGCAGGTGGTGACCACAGACCACTTCTCAGTTCCTATGCTTCCTGGCTGATGTTTTGGTCACTTTTGAATGCTGGCGGTGCTTTCACTCTAGTGGTAGCATGAGACGGAGTCTACAACCCACAAAAGTGGCTCAGGTAGTGCAGCTCATCCAGGATGGCACATCAATGCGAGCTGTGGCAAGAAGGTTTGCTGTGTCTGTCAGCGTAGTGTCCAGAGCATGGAGGCGTACATCAGGAGACGTGGAGGAGGCCATAGGAGGGCAACAACCCAGCAGCAGGACTGCTACCTCCGCCTTTGTGCAAGGAGGAGCAGGAGGAGCACTGCCAGAGCCCTGCAAAATGACCTCCAGCAGGCCACAAATGTGCATGTGTCTGCTCAAACGGTCAGAAACAGACTCCATGAGGGTGGTATGAGGGCCCGACGTCCACAGGTGGGGGTTGTGCTTACAGCCCAACACCGTGCAGGACGTTTAGCATTTGCCAGAGAACACCAAGATTGGCAAATTCGCCACTGGTTCCCTGTGCTCTTCACAGATGAAAGCAGGTTCACACTGAGCACGTGACAGACGTGACAGAGTCTGGAGACGCCGTGGAGAACGTTCTGCTGCCTGCAACATCCTCCAGCATGACCGATTTGGCGGTGGGTCAGTCATGGTGTGGGGTGGCATTTCTTTGGGGGGCAGCACAGCCCTCCAATGTGCTCGCCAGAGGTAGCCTGACTGCCATTAGGTACCGATATGAGATCCTCAGACCCCTTGTGAGACCATATGCTGGTGCGGTTGGCCCTGGGTTCCTCCTAATGCAAGACAATGCTAGACCTCATGTGGCTGGAGTGTGTCAGCAGTTCCTGCAAGAGGAAGGCATTGATGCTATAGACTGGCCCGCCCGTTCCCCAGACCTGAATCCAATTGAGCACATCTAGGACATCATGTCTCGCTCCATCCACCAACGCCACGTTGCACCACAGACTGTCCAGGAGTTGGCGGATGCTTTAGTCCAGGTCTGGGAGGAGATCCCTCAGGAGACCATCCGCCACCTCATCAGGAGCATGCCCAGGCGTTGTAGGGAGGTCATACAGGCACGTGGAGGCCACACACACTACTGAGCCTCATTTTGACTTGTTTTAAGGACATTACATCAAAGTTGGATCAGCCTGTAGTGTGGTTTTCCACTTTTAATTTTGAGGGTGACTCCAAATCCAGACCTCCATGGGTTGATAAATTAGATTTCCATTGATAATTTTTGTGTGATTTTGTTGTCAGCACATTCAACTATGTAAAGAAAAAAGTATTTAATAAGATTATTTCATTCATTCAGATCTAGGATGTGTTATTTTAGTGTTCCCTTTATTTTTTTGAGCAGTGTATATCCAATATCACTGAAATAAGACAGATCCCTACAGATGTGACCCTGAACTGAGGCTGTGGCTTCGAAGCAACTCAACGATTGGTGTTCTCTAGTATCAAACACTCAAGTCGTACCTCAAACACTGATGCAGCTTTCTGGTACAGATCCACTGCTTTTGCTAGATCCTGTGATTCGATTAGCCTGAAAAATGAATAGGCAACTTTAACTTAAGTAGCCTAAGCATCAAAACGAGGAAAAAGGGAGAATCATCATCATCATACGTTTACAGTGACATGCCAATGTTGACAGGGAATTCATTTCTAGAGCCCATCTAATATGATCAATATTGGCTACCGGTACGTACTTTCCAGCTCTGTCGAGGGCCAAGGCTGCAGTGTCTGGTGTGCCGTTCTCTACATACATCATGCTCGCTCTCTCAATATACTGTATAGCCTCTGGTATCCTCTGCATGTCCTGGAGAGAAAACACATGTCTATCAATGATTAGCTTTAGTAGCTAGTTAATAGTAAAACAGTAGTCATGTCATGTGTCAAAAACGTCTGACTAAAAACAATGGCTTTAATCCAGAAGGGGGCAACAAAATGCTAAAAACGATGGAATAAACAACAGCAAATTTCACCCGACCTCTGATAACAAGTCTGTATGATTGACAATACTGTTTATCACATTAACACTAACCTTGAGCATCATACCAGCTGCCTCAAGTGCTCTGCAACAGAAAGGCTCCTTAGCAACATTCAATACAACTAGCAGTAGACAAATCAGTGTCTACTGTACATCATTCTGGTTCTATTAATATCATTACATAAGACAGGCCTAGATCTTTCATACTCACTTGGCAGCATGGAATAGTCTGGATGTTGAGTTAAAGAAAACATTGATGTTAATATCAGATCTTTGTAGTCAACACTTCAAATGCAGCATATGCAATTACGTTGTTCAAAACAAACCTGCAAAATCATTTATAAGCCCCCCCTCCCCATTGGCAGTGAGTAGTGAAAGGATACGTTTTGTTGTTGGTATGTGCCTCTGCCTCTTGCAGGTATGCCTCCTTCGCTTCTTCAAGCATCTTGGCATTTTTAAAGGCAACAGCTGGGACAGGAGGGAATGCTTTATTATGCATTTATAATAAGCCAAATCATAAGACAACTTGAGCAACACTTGTGCAATCTAACCTAATATTACTGACAGTGTGCTATTGCGCAACTAGACGATCAACAGCTGTTGTAGTAGGGGACATGCATTCAGGTCAAAATTGTTGCTGCATAGAATGGATGAACCTTTGGGATACAATACCTGCTTTTGAGTACTCTGATGCAGCACTGTCATAGTCAGGCTTCCATTTCATGAAGCTAGTCTTTAAACTGTGGGAAAAAATGCATCATATTCAGTGACAAACATAACACCAGCATTGCCTCTGAAAAAAGTTACAATCATATGGATTTGCTATTGGATTTAATACAGGTATGGACGCCCTAGTATTGATGAAGTGATCCTGACAGGCTTAACTGCTGTGCAGCTCAGCTGGCTTCCTGTCTAGAATGGCTAGCTAGCTTACTAAATAGAAAAGACCATTCCCATGCTATTTGTTTTATACATAGGTACTATACAATACACGCTTACCAATACTATGATAGTGGCTGACTACCTACTGTAATAGCTAAAATGCACAACAAAAATACTATACAGCTAGCTAGCTAACGTCATCTAGCTAGCGAGATTTCCTTACTATTTCTCAGCCTTGGCAATGTGGTCGTGCGCCTCGTTGATTTTCGCAGCCATCTGGTCCAGTGGCAGCTCTGCTGTGTAGTCCACTAATAATGTAATTTAAAAAAAATCGATATTTCAGTTATCACTGGCTAAACTGTAGTGTGATGTTGCTGTTGCTAGATTAATGCTAGCGTTACTGGTTTCAGGAGACCTTTTCGTCATCAGTGTGTTGGCTACGGAAGCCCGTGAGTTGCATTATATTTTTCTATTGATACGTGACGACGTTGCAATGTTGCGCCTACTAGGCATCAATGTAACAGTTATTTTATTTTATTTTATTGAACGCCCTTCCTAATCCAGGAAACTAGTCTTCTTTCATCTCTATTTGCAATGCATTATTAAATCCCCAGTTATTCATTCATAGTCTATTGCTTACACTAGTTTGCCAGTGAAATCTCAATATGGTAAAGTAAACTATTACTTTTATATAGCCTACAGCAGGGTTCTTCAATTCCGGTCGTGGAGGGCCGAAACACTTCTGTTTTTTATTTCTACCTGGTAGTTAATTGCACTCACCTGGTAGCCCAGGTCTGAATTAGCCCCTGATTAGAAGGAGAGGGTGAAAAACAGAGATGTTTCGGCCCTCCAGGACCGGAATTGAAGAACCCTGGCCTACAGGATGTATAATATAATTCCTCTATTATTACATGTATTTGATAAAGCCCTTTTTACACCAGCAGTTGCAAAGTGCTTTACAGATAACCAGCCCAGAACAAGCAATGCAGAGACAGAGGCAGAAGCAGTGGCCAGGAAAAACTCCCTAAAAGGAACCTAGGAAGACACCTAGACAGGAACCAGGCTCAGAGTGGTGTCCAGTCCTCTTCTGGCTATTATTATCAGTGAATCTGTGAGTTGATCCGAAGTATCTTTAAAAAATGGTTGCTACTATTTTCTTTGCAATTACCTAAAAAAAATCGTATAGCCCAGTAGAATATATCAGCACCCAACAAGTAGACAAGGCATATCATATGATACCACTGGACAGAGTTCTTGTCTTGGGTTCACCTGAGTAGGGCTCCTGTGTCTGAAATGGTAACTGTATCTTTAAGGCGCGTGCCTACCCCTGTCTGCTTTGTGGAGCTAGTGGAGAGAGTCACGCCATCGGAACAGAAGAACATGCTTTAATTCTGAAAAGTAGAGGTGAAAAAGGGGGTAAAAAACGTTCACCTCTGGAGCAACAATCGACTATTTGGGCAAGGTGAGTTTGATGACTACTTTTATTCTATAGTTCAATCAGTGTGCGTTCTTTACCAAGACAAAAAAGTGCATTCTTTATTCTTAGTTAATGTTGAGAAAAGGTGTTTATAGCTTTGGATATGCCTCTCCAAAACACGAGGTTTGTTCATAAACGGTGCCTGAAAAGTGTCAGTCTTTTCATACAATATATTCAAACTATGTGTTTAATTTTAGGATAAAATGTAACTTTCCTTCTTGAGGTCTTAGAGTGTTGCGCTAGTGGCATGATCAACATGCTATTATTGAATTAGACGACCGTAATAGGTATTCAACGTTTGAACATGGATTTGAAATGTATTCAGAGTTTATGATTAAATGCGCAGCAACCTTTATGATAATTTAGTGGGAAAGTGGGAAACCAATGTTTGTATTGCAATGGGTCTGACTTGCGGATTGTGTAGAAAGGGAATGATGCACCTTTAAAGCAAGCGGCAATTTACCATAACAATTTAATCAAAGGGATGGTTCCTTGACACGACTTTTCCTGTGTTTTATTAGTATGTTTATTGAGTCCTGATGACGTCTAGTTGAATAAAGGGTACATTCTAAGTTATTGTCTGACTCTTTGTTTTTTGTCGGTGCAGGTTACGGTTGTTTCGTGCGTGTCGGAATGAAGTCTATTCAAATCTTACTATCCACTGCACTTACTTTCCTTCTCTCTGGACTTTCCATGACCACCGCCTGCAACAAGGCTCTCTGTGCCAGTGATGTCAGCAAGTGCCTCATTCAGGTAAGAAGGCTTAGTACGTTTTTGAAAAGGCATTTGGTTTAGGTAAACTTTTCTCAATAATAAACATTTTCAGTTACTAAATCACTTTGAGATAACTCTATGCAATTTCTATAAGGGATCTATCATCTGTCTTTTCAGAGTAAAGTGCCACTGCCATACAGTGTTATGCCAATATTTTATTCCTTGGAGTTCAAATAAGACTTGATGAACCTCCCACTATGCATTTCCACTGTGTGTATGTCATTTTACATTAACCTAAAATCTCTGCCATGGTCACTGTATTCTCTCTGTCCTGGAAACATGCATACAACCATGACAGTACCTGTAAACTAAATAAACCCTTCTGAGAACACTCAACTAACAAAGGGGAGATACTAAAAATGGACTCTGAAGTTGGCAGGGCTACAATCAAGCGCAGGTTTTAAATTTACAGCCCAGTGTCTTCAAAGGATGTAGCCTAGTCTACCTTGGCTGTACATGTGATGGCCAATGGAGATTAATATCTGTATACCTTCCATGGTTACTGTTGCAGTCACAATTACACTTGACTGTGGGCTCAGTTAGCTCCATCCCTGTGCACATCTGGAATTTGACCTCTGCTCTCCATTTGAACTGCCCTCCCAGCTGCACTGGAGGAGTCACAAAACAGGCAGCTGGAGGTCGGCCCACTCCTCAAGCATATGCAGTTACACACACACACACACCCGTAGTGATTTCTAAATAGGGACAGGATATTATGTATGGTTTATTTTCTTGTGTTTGTGTCAACCATGACGTGCTCAATACACACCAAGATAAATAAATCATGTTACGTTGTTTTGGCCCTCCTCATGTAAAGCCAGACTGAGACTGTATTGAAAGAATGTTTACACAAGTTTGCACAACATGATAAAGGCTTAAATGCATACAAGATATATGTAAATGTGTGCAACCTTCGCACTGTCTATTGCTGAATTTCTCTCTTGTGAGTTATGCACTTATGTATATCAGTCATGCCACATACATAAAATGTGTCCATGTTATAATATATATTGTGTTTTGTGATGTACAGGAGCTGTGTCAGTGCAGGCCCTCAGATGGGAACTGCTCGTGCTGTAAGGAGTGTATGCTCTGTCTGGGCACACTGTGGGAGGAGTGCTGTGACTGTGTGGGTAGGTGCCAGAGGTGTGGACTCGAGTCTGACTCATGTCACAAATTTGATGACTTGAGACTCGACATGATAGAAAATAAAATAACTTGAGACTTAAGTTGGAGCCTCAAGGCTCGGGACTCGACTTGAGACTGATGACTTGAAATTCTGGCCAGGTTTTGTCACTCATTTTGTGGCACAGTCTCTCTGTGGATTACTCTCCACACAGCCAGAGACAGTAGCTGCAGGCATCACACTTGACCCCCAAAAGAGTTTGAGAGGATTGCCATAAATATACAGCTCCAAAAATTGTTTGGTGATCAAGAATATTAACTGTTTACTTTGCAAGCTCACCAGCAATGGGGCATCATGCAACAATTACTAGCATAGCTCTTTTTTAAGTAAAAATTGCTTGAAATTGATCTTATGAAGCTTGCATTTGGAATTAGTAGTTAAAATTAATTATTACATAACCAAAATGTTGTAGACAAAATAATGAAAAGGGCTGTATGGTTCCTCAATAAATAGACACAGATTTGTAGTTGATGTCATTGCATGCCTTGATTTTTATTTATTTTTTACTTGACTTGAAATAACTTGACTCAGCTCGTCTTGACTTGCTCTTAAAATGCATGACTTGGACTTGACTTGAGACTTGGACCTTTTGACTCGAGACTTGCTTGTGACTTGAATAATAGTGACTTGGTCCCACCTCTGGTTGGTGCCATGGACTAGGTGCACATTGAAAAGGACAAATAATAACCAGTGTCAGAATGGATTAATGAGGATGGGTATTTGGTTTTTGAATCATATCGAGCTCCTCCAAATCCTTCCTTCCTTTATTCACTGATTGTTCAAGGTAGTGCACCCATCCTATTTTACAAGTGCAGTGCAGTGAATGTTGAGTATCAAATGAACAAATAGGAGAATAGTGGTTTACTGATGATCAGTAATTTATTGTAATAAATTATTTGATTTATTTACCAATTATCAACTTGCTCCCTGCATCCCCTCACACAGGGATGTGTAACCCCAGGAACTACAGCGACACTCCGGCTACCTCCAAGAGCACGGTGGAGGAACTCTACCGACCCATCCCCTCACTGTTCCGCGCCCTTACAGAGGGCGAAGCACCCATCAACATGATGGTAGTATCCTTCCCCGTGGCCGAGGAACTATCTTACCACGAGAACCTGGTGTCTTTCCTGAAAACAATGGAGGACCAGCACCAAAATGTCTCCCTGCCCGGGAACAGTATCCACGCCAGCTACGATAACACCCAAAGTACTGCAGGTAGAGAGGGATGAGAGGGTTGAATTATGGGGATACTCATAGCTGCTGGGTACTACTTCCATAATAAGAGAGTAAATGGAGCGTAGGCACATCATACAGTCTTGCACAGATGCCTTTTATCAAAGTATTAGTTCATCAGAAAAACTCAGATTCTACACGTTTAGCATTACATTTACATTACATTTTAGTCATTTAGCAGACGCTCTTATCCAGAGCGACTTACAGGAGCAAATTAGGGTTAAGTGCCTTGCTCAAGGGCACATTTACGTCATTTAGCAGACGCTCTAGTCCAGAGCGACTCACAAATTGATGCATTCACCCTATAGCCAGTGGGATAACCACTTTACACATTTTTTTTTGGGGGGGGGGGGTAGAAGGATTACTTTATCCTATCCCAGGTATTCCTTAAAGAGGTGGGGTTTCAAATGTCTCCGCATTTGTAGCAAAAATCCCATTTAAGTCATGGGACCGATATTGTCATTTTTCACGCATCATGTCCAAATCATCCAAAAGTATCTATTGTGAAGCTCAACAAAGTCCCATACAGTGCTTTCGGAAAGTATTCAGACACCTTTACTTTTTCCACAATTTGTTACGTTAGACTTATTTTGAAATTGATTAAATAAAACAAATTCCTCAATCTACACACAATACCCCATAATGACAAAGTTAAACTTTTTTTTTTTTTTTTTCAAACTTTATAAGAATGTAAAAACACATACCTTATTTACATAAGTATTCAGACCCTTTGCTATGAGACTCAATTGAGCTCAGGTGCATCCTGTTTCCATTGATCATCCTTGATGTTTCTACAACTTGATTGGAGTCCACCTGTGGTAAATTCAATTGATTGGATATGATTTGGAAAAGCACACGCCTTTCTATATAAAGGTCCCACAGTTGACAGTGCAAAAACCAAGCCATGAGGTCGAAGGAATTGTCCGTAGAGCTCCAAGACAGGATTGTGTCGAGGCACAGATCTGGGGAAGGGTACCAAAAAATGTCTGCAGCATTGAAGGTCCCCAAGAACACAGTGGCCTACATAATTCTTAAATGGAAGAAGTTTGGAACCACCAAGACTCTTCCTAGAGCTGGCTGCCCAGCCAAACTGAGCAATCGTGGGAGAAGGGCCTTGGTCAGGGAGGTGACCAAGAACCCGATGGTCACTTTGATAGAGTTCCTCTGTGGAGATGGGAGAACCTTCCAAAAGGACAACCATCTCTGCAGCACTCCACCAAACAGGCCTTTATGGTAGTGGCCAGACGGAAGCCACTCCTCAGTAAAAGGCACATGACAGCCCGCTTGGGAGTTTTCCAAAAGGCACCTAAAGACTCTGACCATGAGAAACAAGGTCTGAAGGAAACCTTGCACCATCCCTACGGTGAAGCATGGTGGTGGCAGCATCATGCTTTGGGGATGTTTTTCAGCGGCAGGAACTGGGAGACTAGTCAGGATCGAGGCAAAGATGAACGGAGAAAAGTACAGAGAGATCTTTGATGAAAACCTGCTCCAGAGTGCTCAGGACCTCAGACTGGGGTGAAGGTTCACCTTCCAACAGGACAACGACCCTAAGCACACAGCCAAGACAACACAGGAGTGGCTTAGGGACAAGTCTCTGAATGTCCTTGAGTGGCCCAGCCAGAGCCCGGACTTGAACCCGATCGAACACCTCTGGAGAGACCTGAAAATAGCTGTGCAGCGACGCTCCCCATCCAACCTGACAGAGCTTGAGAGGATCGGCAGAGAATAATCAATTTTTGAATAAGGGTGTAACTCCTGAGTGGCGCAGTGGTCTAAGGCACTGCATCGCAGTGCTAACTGTGCCACTAGAGATCCTGGTTCGAATCCAGGCTCTGTCGCAGCCGGCCGCGACCGGGAGACTCATGGGCGGCGCACAATTGGCCCAGCGTCGTCCAGGGTAGGGGAGGGAATGGCCGGCAGGGATGTAGCTCAGTTGATAGAGCATGGCGTTTGCAATGCCAGGGTTGTGGGTTCGATTCCCACGGGGGGCCAGTATAAAACATTAAAAAAAAAAAAAAATGTATTCACTAACTGTAAGTCGCTCTGGATAAGAGCGTCTGCTAAATGACTAAAATGTAATGTAAATGTAACATAACAAAATGTGAAGAAAGTCAAGGGGTCTGAATACTTTCCAAAGGCACTATAGATAACATGCAAACATTTTTTATAAAATCGATCCCATGACTTGAATGGGATTTGTGCCACAAATGCTAAAATTAATTACTATTAAAGAGATTCTCTGGTACTTTTGTATACTTTTTAGCCAGCAGTTCTGAAAGGAGCGCTCACAAGCCAAAAGTGGTCCCCGAAAATTGCGTACTATGTCACATATGTGGAGATATGTGCACCACGTCATTGCTCTCTCTTGTTCTGCTGTGTGTGCATCTTGCTAGTTGTCACTCAAATGGTGAGGGGCTAAAGCTCATTGGCTGGAACTCGATTTGCTAGGGGGCTGGCCCACGTGGGGGAAAATGGAGCTGTGCAGCTTCCAGTAAACAGTCGCTTTCACTAGGGATTATTGAGGTAAGACAGTAATTCTGCTCATAGATTATGACTGTATGAACTACACATTGACACATCCAGCCCAAAGCGGGAGGTTTAAAAAATACTTACTAGTCGCCAAAGTTACGGAGCATGTCTTTAACCTGAGCAGATTGGGCACCCTCATAAGTGCTAAAGATGTTAACTTTGGTCCAGCCCACAATTTTAGGGAAACCCAAGGAGTCAATGTATAGCTCAAACCCCTGACAGGGTCCATATTGTTTTAGGAGAGGGAGGGCTAAGCTATAATGAACTCATGGCTAAAGCTGCTTTGAGCTGAGCTTGGTGGCTAGACCCCTCCATAAAAGCTTATGAGATCTTGGCCATCTTTTGATGGGTTTAGCGGGTAAACCAAGCAGCCCTGCAAATTATTATGAGTAGATTGCTACTGTTGCTGGCCTTGTGGACTTTCATGTGCATCCACTCCATTTGTCCTCTCCTCAGCAACCAGTTCTAGTGATTTGTAATTGACTAAGAACTTGTGTGTGAGGCAGTGTCTAGACTTGACAGTTCATATTTATGATCATGGAATTTTGAACGCGTCATGCGTCTACACATACATTTTAAATACACTGCTCAAAAAAATAAAGGGAACACTAAAATAACACATCCTAGATCTGAATGAATGAAATAATCTTATTAAATACTTTTTTCTTTACATAGTTGAATGTGCTGACCACAAAATCACACATTATCAATGGAAATCTAATTTATCAACACATGGAGGTCTGGATTTGGAGTCACCCTCAAAATTAAAGTGGAAAACCACACTACAGGCTGATCCAACTTTGATGTAATGTCCTTAAAACAAGTCAAAATGAGGCTCAGTAGTGTGTGTGGCCTCCACGTGCCTGTATGACCTCCCTACAATGCCTGGGCATGCTCCTGATGAGGTGGCGGATGGTCTCCTGAGGGATCTCCTCCCAGACCTGGACTAAAGCATCCGCCAACTCCTGGACAGTCTGTGGTGCAACGTGGCGTTGGTGGATGGAGCGAGACATGATGTCCCAGATGTGCTCAATTGGATTCAGGTCAGGGGAACGGGCGGGCCAGTCCATAGCATCAATGCCTTCCTCTTGCAGGAACTGCTGACACACTCCAGCCACATGAGGTCTAGCATTGTCTTGCATTAGGAGGAACCCAGGGCCAACCGCACCAGCATATGGTCTCACAAGGGGTCTGAGGATGTCATCTCGGTACCTAAATGGCAGTCAGGCTACCTCTGGCGAGCACATGGAGGGCTGTGCGGCCCCCCAAAGAAATGCCACCCCACACCATGACTGACCCACCGCCAAATCGGTCATGCTGGAGGATGTTGCAGGCAGCAGAACGTTCTCCACGGCGTCTCCAGACTCTGTCACGTCTGTCACATGTGCTCAGTGTGAACCTGCTTTCATCTGTGAAGAGCACAGGGCGCCAGTGGCGAATTTGCCAATCTTGGTGTTCTCTGGCAAATGCCAAACGTCCTGCACGGTGTTGGGCTGTAAGCACAACCCCCACCTGTGGACGTCGGGCCCTCATACCACCCTCATGGAGTCTGTTTCTGACCGTTTGAGCAGACACATGCACATTTGTGGCCTGCTGGAGGTCATTTTGCAGGGCTCTGGCAGTGCTCCTCCTGCTCCTCCTTGCACAAAGGCGGAGGTAGCAGTCCTGCTGCTGGGTTGTTGCCCTCCTACGGCCTCCTCCACGTCTCCTGATGTACTGGCCTGTCTCCTGGTAGCGCCTCCATGCTCTGGACACTACGCTGACAGACACAGCAAACCTTCTTGCCACAGCTCGCATTGATGTGCCATCCTGGATGAGCTGCACTACCTGAGCCACTTGTGTGGGTTGTAGACTCCGTTTCATGCTACCACTAGAGTGAAAGCACTGCCAGCATTCAAAAGTGACCAAAACATCAGCCAGGAAGCATAGGAACTGAGAAGTGGTCTGTGGTCATGACCTGCAAAACCAGTCCTTTATTGGGGGTGTCTTGCTAATTGCCTATAATTTCCACCTGTTGTCTATTCCATTAGCACAACAGCATGTGAAATGTATTGTCAATCAGTGTTGCTTCCTAAGTGGACAGTTTGATTTCACAGAAGTGTGATTGACTTGGAGTTACATTGTGTTGTTTAAGTGTTCCCTTTTATTTTTTTGAGCAGTGTATGTCTACCGTGTCCACGGGACCGAGTTTGGGAAACACTGCTTTAGAGTACCTTCACAAGTGTTAAGTGAAGACTAAAATATGTAGCTTAAGCATTTTTGCCTTAAACTTTTCAAATGAATAGTAGTGGTAAGATTTGCCTGTTGTATTGGCATTCAAAGGCTTATTTCTCCAAGTTTTTTCCCCTCCACAGATAACATGTGCACAGTGGTGTACTTTGACGACTGCGTGTCCATCCGCCAGTGCAAGCAGTACTGCGAGTCCATGGGGGGCTCCAAATACCGCTGGTTCCACAATGCCTGCTGTGAGTGCATCGGCCCGGAGTGCCTCGACTACGGCAGCAAAACCGTCAAGTGCATGAACTGCTTGTTCTGATGGAAGCCAATGGGACTGGCCACATTAGGGTACTGTGCTCAAACTGCCACTAGGGGGAATATCTGGAGTAGCGTATGGTGAAGGTTGACTGAGGATGACTAGAGTGCCTTTGCCTATTATAACAATGCTTCAGTATTTTGATGTAAAATATTAGCCCTTACGAATTATTTTCGCTCTTGATGCTTTGTTTTTATATATTTTCTAGGTTCTCTAGCAAATTAGAAATATATGGATTGTGTTGTATTTCCACGTATTGTAATGCTGTTGAAAGGGTCACTCAATGCCAAATAGATTTTTAGTTGTTTAAAGAGAAGCGGTCAAATGGAAAATGAGTAAATGCCATTTGTATAATTGTTATTTTAGGAAACGTCATCCATATTCAATCAAACTGATAGCCAGCCTTTCCATACATCATGTTGGATTTTATATGTGCAGTTAAAATGATTTGTTTCATACTGTAAACATTTTAAATCTAATAAAATAATTTAAGATAAGTTCAGCCAGATAGGACAAGTTCGGATGCCAGACAGATAGGATGTTTGGTACAGATGAGATAAATTCAGCTGGCTGGCCAGATTGGATATGTTCGGCCGGCCAGATTGGATATGTTCAGTTTCAGGTAGGATAAGCAGGGTTCGTACGGTCATGAAAATCCTGGAAAAGTCATGGAATATATTTCTCCCATGGGCAAAGAACTCAAAAGGAGTAACGATATTAACTAACAAGAATATTGATTCTAATGCGCAAACTGTTCAAACAGATCCGCAAGGAAGGTGGATCCTTTTATTATGCTATTGGACCATAAACAGATTTGGCTCATTAATCTATATGGTGCAAATAATCATGATCCACGCTTCTTTGAAAATATATATAATAATTTATCGAGTTTACAGGCAATACATGATTCAATTATTATTGTGGGAGATTATAATACGGTTTTAAGTACCTCAATGGACCGTAAAGGAAATCACACTACAAAACTATCACCCTAATGCACTTAAGGAAATTACAAATATGATGGATATATTGGAACTAGTGGATATATGGAGGCTTAAATATCCTGACATAGTGAGATAAATATGGCGGAGGCTCAATCAAGCTAGTCGTCTTGACTACTTTCTTATGCAATTTCCGCTGGCACCAAACGTTAAGAGTGTTGATAGGGGACAGAATGCGGTCGGACCATCAAATAATTGGTATACACATTACTCTTACAGAATTTACGCGAGGGCGAGGAAATTGGAAATTCTAAATCAAAGCCTACTCGATGACAAATTGTTTTTAACCAAGACAGAATAATGTATAACTGACTTTCCTATATAACATAGGTACAGCGGATCCCCTTATTGTATGGGACACTTTTACACTGAACAAAAATATAAATGCAACATGTAAAGTGTTAGTCCCATGTTTCATGATCTGAAATAAAAGATCCCAGAAATCTTCCATATGCACAAAAAGCTTATTTCTTTCAAATTTTGAGCACACGTTTGTTTACATCCCTGTTAGTGAGCATTTCTCCTTTGCCAAGATAATCCATCCACCTGACAGGTGTGCCATATCAAGAAGCTGATTAAACAGCATGTTAACACAACACAATGCCACAGATGTCTCAAATTGAGAGATCATGCAATTGGAATGTGATTGCAGGAATTTCCACCAGAGCTGTTGCCAGAGGATTGAATGTAAATTTCTCTACCATAAGCCGCCTCCAACATCATTTTAGAGAATTTGGCAGTACGTCCAACCGGCCTCACAACGGCAGACCGCGTGTAACCACGCCAGCCAAGGACCTCCACAGTGTGTATGTTTACAAAAAAAAAATCTTTACTATTTTTGGACATTGTAGAATAATAGTGAAGACAAACTATGAAATAACACATATGGAATCATGTAGTAACCAAAAAAGTGTTAAACAAATCAAAATATATTTTACATTTGAGATTCTTCAAATAGCCACCCTTTACCTTGATGACAGCTTTGCACACTCTTGGCATTCTCTCAACCAGCTTCATGAGGTAGTCACCTGGAATGCATTTCAATTAACAGGTGTGCCGCCTTAAGTTCATTTGTGGAATTTCTTTCCTTCTTAATGCGTTTGAGCCAATCAGTTGTGTTGTGACAAGGTAGGGGGGTATACAGAAGATAGCCCTATTTGGTAAAAGACCAAGTCCATATTATGGCAAGAACATCTAAAATAAGCAGAGAGAAACAACAGTCCATCATTACTTTAAGACATGACGGTCATTCAATCATGAAAATGTCAAGAACTTTGAAAGTTTCTTCAAGTGCAGTCGCAAAAACCATCAAGCGCTATGATGAAACTGGCTCTCATGAGGACCTCCACAGGAAAGGAAGACCCAGAGTTACCTCTGCTGCAGAGGATAAGTTCATTAGAGTTACCAGCCTCAGAAATTGCAGCCCAAATAAATGCTTCACAGAGTTCAAGTCACAGACATAAACATCAACAAACATCAACGGTTCAGAGGGGACTGTGTGAATCAGGCCTTCATGGTCGAATTGCTGCAAAGAAACCACTACTAAAGGACACCAATAATAATAAGAGACCTGCTTGGGCAAAGAAACACGAGCAATGGACATTAGATCGGTGGAAATTTGTCCTTTGGTCTGATGAGTCCAAATTTGAGATTTTTGGTTCAAACCGCTGTGTCTTTGTGAGATGCGGTGTGGGTGAACGGATGATCTCCGCATGTGTATTTCCCACCGTAAAGCATGGAGGAGGAGGTGTTATGGTGCTTTGCTTGTGACACTGTCAGTGATTTATTTAGAATTCAAGGCACACTTAACCAGCATGGCTACCACAGCATTCTGCAGCGATACCCCATCCCATCTGGTTTGGGCTTAGTGGGACTATCATTTGTTTTTCAACAGGACAATGACCCAACACACCTCCAGGCTGTGTAAGGGCTATTTTACCAAGAAGGAGAGTGATGGAGTGCTGCATCAGATGACATGGCCTCCACAATCCCCGACTTCAACCCAATTGAGATAGTTTGGGATGAATCGAACGGCGGAGTGAAGGAAAAGCAGCCAACAAGTGCTCAGCCTATGTGGGAACTCCTTCAAGACTGTTGGAAAAGCATTCCAGGTGAAGCTGGTTGAGAGAATGCCAAGAGTGTGCAAAGCTGTCATCAAGGCAAATGGTGGCTATTTGAAGAATCTCAAATGTAAAATATATTTTGATTTGTTTAACACTTTTTTGGCTACCACATTATTCCAAATGTGTTATTTCATAGTTTTGATGTCTTCACTATTATTCTACAATGTAGAAAATAGTACAAATAAAGAAAAACCCTTGAATGAGTAGGTGTGTTCAAACTTTTGACTGGTACTGTATATACAGTTGAAGTCGGAAGTTTACATACCCTTAGGTTGGAGTCATTAAAATTCGTTTTTCAACCACTCCACAAATGTCTTGTTAACAAACTATAGTTTTGGCAAGTCGGTTAGGACATCTACTTTGTGCATGACACATGTAATTTTTCCAACAATTGTTTACAGACAGATTATTTCACTTATAATTCACTGTATCACAATTCCAGTGGGTCAGAAGTTTACATACACTAAGTTGACTGACTTTAAACAGCTTGGAAAATTTCAGAAAATGTCATGGCTTTAGAAGCTTCTGATAGGCTAATTGACATAATTTGAGTCAATTGGAGGTGTACCTGTGGATGTATTTCAAGGCCTACCTTCAAACTCAGTGCCTCTTTGCTTGACATCATGGGAAAATCAAAAGAAATCAAAAAATTGTAGACCTCCACAAGTCTGGTTCATCCTTGGGAGCAATTTCCAAACGCCTGAAGGTACCACGTTCATCTGTACAAACAATAGTACGCAAGTATAAACACCATGAGACCACGCAGCCGTCATACCGCTCAGGAAGGAGACGCGCTCGGTCTCCTAGAGATTAACGTACTTTGGTGCGAAAAGTGCAAATCAATCCCAGAACAACAGCAAAGGACCTTGTGAAGATGCTGGAGGAAACAGGTACAAAAGTATCTATATCACCGGGTAAAACAAGTCCTATATCGGCATAACCCAAAAGGCTGCTCAGCAAGGAAGAAGCCACTGCTCCAAAACCGCCATAAAAAAGGCAGACTACGGTTTGCAACTGCACATGGGGACAAAGATCGTACTTTTTGGAGAAATGTCCTCTGGTCTGATTAAACAAAAGTAGAACTGTTTGGCCATAATGACCAATCGTTATGTTTGGAGGAAAAAGGGGGTGCTTGCAAGCTGAAGAACACAATCCCAACCGTGAAGCACGGGGGTGGCAGCATCATGCTGTGGGGGTGCTTTGCTGCAGGAGGGACTGGTGCACTTCACAAAAGGAAGAGGAAGGAAAATTATGTGGATATATTGAAGCAACATCTCAAGATATCAGTCAGGAAGTTAAAGCTTGGTCGCAAATGGATCTTCCAAATAGACAATGACCCCAAGCATACTTTCAAAGTTGTGGCAAAATGGCTTAAGGACAACAAAGTCAAGGTATTGGAGTGGCCATCACAAAGCCCTGACCTCAATCCTATAGAAAATGTGTGGGCAGAACTGAAAAAGCGTGTGCGAGCAAGGAGGCCTACAAACCTAACTCAGTTACACCAGCTCTGTCAGGAGGAATGGGCCAAAATTCACCCAACTTATTGTGGGAAGCTTGTTGAAGGCTACCCGAAACATTTGACCCAAGTTAAACAATTTAAAGGCAATGCTACCAAATATTAATTGAGTGTATGTAAACTTCTGACAAACTGGGAATTTGATGAAAGAAAAAAAAGCTGAAATAAATCACTCTACTATTATTCTGACATTTCACATTCTTAAAATAAAGTGTCAGGAATTGAGTTTAAATGTATTTGGCTAAGGTGTATGTAAACTTCCGACTTCAACTGTGTGAGTGTGTGTATATACACACTGCTCAAAAAATAAAGGGAACACTTAAACAACACAATGTAACTCCAAGTCAATCACACTTCTGTGAAATCAAACTGTCCACTTAGGAAGCAACACTGATTGACAATAAATGTCACATGCTGTTGTGCTAATGGAATAGACAACAGGTGGAAATTATAGGCAATTAGCAAGACACACCCAATAAAGGACTGGTTTTGCAGTTGGTGACCACAGACCACTTCTCAGTTCCTATGCTTCCTGGCTGATGTTTTGGTCACTTTTGAATGCTGGCGGTGCTTTCACTCTAGTGGTAGCATGAAACGGAGTCTACAACCCACACAAGTGGCTCAGGTAGTGCAGCTCATCCAGGATGGCACATCAATGCGAGCTGTGGCAAGAAGGTTTGCTGTGTCTGTCAGCGTAGTGTCCAGAGCATGGAGGCGCTACCAGGAGACAGGCCAGTACATCAGGAGACGTGGAGGAGGCCGTAGGAGGGCAACAACC